CCCCAAAACCCCAAAACCCCAAAACCCCAAAACCCCAAAACCCCAAAACCCCAAAACCCCTTTGGGAATTCAAGAATTGAATTTTAAATCTATTAACAATCTCACTTCTTCATAATTCTCTCATAGTACAAAGCTATAGATGCTAAAGAATGCATCATTCCTGCCACAAGGACTCATAAGTGCCATATATTATGAGACCAGCCACAGTAATCGAACCTGATAGGGAAATATTTCTCAGGGATTTTGATCATATAAATAACAGCACCAAAGACATACAAGATGTCACCTCCAAGTATCAAATTCATATTCACAACTGGAAAGTTCTTGTGGTCATTGAACAGGTAATATTGGATGATTGGTAAAAACCCGATCAGAGAGATTCCCATTAACAACAAGGTTCGATACACCCTAAACTGAGGTGTTATAAACACAGGCTGAAACAAGTAAAATATTAATAGGAATCACGACAGATTTCCAATAATTATGTAGACGTACATGAAGTGAGTTGTTGCATCACAGTAGAAGATATAGTAGCATATTGGATAAAAGAGACAGCCACAGAAGAAAATTATACTTCCAATGTCTCACTTTGCGAGTGTATTGTAGGTCTTCACTCACTTACAAGCGAATAAGTGATATGTTGAGCTCGAGAACATTCATACCATCCCTCCAAAGAAATGGATATAAATTGGGATTCTAGAAGTATCTAAATTTTGAATAGAATAATCACTGATTGTGATACTCTGCAACAAGGAAGATGCCAAACTTTCCCTACTGCAATTTATCCCCTCAGGAGTGATATATAATTCGAAAAATACCAAAAGTCAGATGTACCAGATGAATCCAATGAGATGGCTCCAGATGTTGATAGTCTCATTATGCCACATAAATAGAGATTTTAAAATTGAAAAAGAATCCGTGAACCCAATTCTGTATCCAGTTTTAATGTAGATCATAAATTTGTATTGTTCAGGAGCCTCTGAATATTCTCCAATATACTGCTTAACTCTCTGTGCATTTTTCTTATTATATCCATCAACTTTTGGTGAACTATCTGACTTTGATCTTTTTGTGACACCTTCTTCTACACAAAAAATTAGTTAAGAAAGTGACTTAATATTACTGAAGTGGCTCATCTGCATTTTATTAGGATATATTATTTTTCAAGCCTTTCATAAATTTTAGGGGTTTTGGGGTTTTGGGGTTTTGGGGTTTTGGGG